AGTCCAATTTGACTATTGTTCTACTACTAAACACCTACAACATAACAAAAATTGGGGGCACTGGAACTGACGGGCATGTTTATTTCGTAATTTCTAAAAACCAAGTTTTCAAAACATTTAAGCACCTTTATTTTTGCATTAATATCGGATTTTTTTGTTGCAAAATGTGTCAAAATGTTCAACTCCCATAGTTACTGGAGTTTGACCTTAAAGTCGCTTTCATGGTCACAGCATAATTCTTTTCACGAAAAAAAATCAGAAAAAGTTGCATATTTTCATGTATACTCCACGTATCCATTAAAACTTCAGTAAGTTTGTAGGGACTAAATATACGCGTCGATTGGTGCAAAAAAATCGAAATTTTATTGTCTTTTGACCACGCTGAAAGTTTTTAAAACGATAACATGGGAGCTTATGGGAGGACATAGTTACACACTCCCCGTCAGGTAGCGGTGAGACTGTATCAGATCACCCCTTAATAAGACTAGATTTTTTTTCGCTGCTAAAATTTGACATCTGCAGAATAGCTTTTGGAAATCTTGGGTAAAATTGGAGGAAAATTTCCAAAATTATAATAGAATTAGAATTATGCTCTATATTTATTCATCTGAAGAAAAATAAAGGTATTATTATTTTGTGTACATAAATTGCCACAATTTTTGTAATATTCCATGAGTTACAGATATCTCAGTAATTGAATAATTTGTACAGCGAGTAATAATATGATAAAATTTCCCCTATAATTTTCGGTTATCTGAAATTAATCTGTCAATCATTCATATTTTATTCGGGATGATTTCTAGTCTGGGGTTAATCAAGCTTTGATTGTGTGTATATCCTAAATAATCAGGTAGCAATTCATTACCGGACGTATCGATTTGATAATTGAGCACGAAATGACGTGATACATATGTACATACAGATAAATTCTGATGTGTTATCATCGTGGTGATAAACTAAAACCAAGTTAGCGACAAACCATTTCAAACCATTTGGTAACAATTTGGTACCAGTTTTTTTGACAGTGTGGTCATAAAATATTGCTAAAGTACACTTCAGGAACTACAATTTACATGGTAGAGTAACAAATTATTACTGGATACGCTAGATTTTTGAGAGTTCATCTGTTTTTACCGATGTGTTTAAATTCAAATTTATTACCGGCGAATTGGTACTTCAACCAGTGCGACCATCAACTTTTGTGGTCTCGGCAAAATCATCGCCCGGTAACAGATAACTACTATCAAATTACTTAGAGTGTGCTTATACATACAAATAGAATATTTGATAATCGTGCATTCTCCACGCTTTGACAGTGCCACTCAAATAAAGGTCAATTGGCTGTAAAGAATGTCAGACCACTCTCCATTATGATCATAACCCTTTTAAGCGACACATGTACTTATGCATGACGTGGCTCATCCTCGGTGCACAAATCTCTGCACATACAAATTTGATTAACAAGTAAGTAGTCGTTCGTGATCACCATTCATGATGCGCCGAAGTGATGAGAAAGTGTCGCAAATTTTGTTGAATATGCTCGACGCCACTGTGCTTAAAAATAAAAATTTGGCAAATTAAAAACTTTTAAGATACGAATCCATCTTTAGATCCATCATTTAACGGTTTTAATTTAACGAAATATTAAAATGTAATAAAATATGATATTATTGATCTATTTCTGATCAAGATTAATATTAATCTGGTAAAAATTAAGTTCGCAAACAAAGTTAAACTTGTATGGTTGTATTAATAGGAAAACGCTAGATACGTATTTATATTTTTCTGTGCGTACATATCTCATAGTGTTAAATTGCCTAAATACATATATAAATAGGAAAATTTTAAGTAATTTCATTAATTTCTTTCCTAAAGTAATTGTAGTCTACAAATTTTTGCAAACTTACTCAGATGAAGGGCGTCTTCTTATTTTGTAAAAGTTTGTAAATTCGTTTTACCAAACTTGCGAATTTTACAAAGTTAAAAAAGACTGCCTCAATATTTTCGAAAACTTGTGGTAAAACAATTTATCACATAAATATTATTCGTATATTTTTAAACTGACGTCAACCTTGGCCAACTTGCACAATCCAATATTTACTTACGGCGAATTCCATCCGTAAATAATTATGCACGGCTCCATACATAAATAATTGGATTATGTTGTTCTTATCTGAGTTCCGTTAATAAAATGGCAAGTTGATTCATGTATTGTACCTTTTTTACACGAATAGTTCAACCATCATGTGAATAATTCGTGGAAAGGGTAGTCATTTGATGGAATGACATCATCGTCCAATAATCAAATCACGGTGATGATATTATTACTGAACTATTCATGTCCTGCATGTAAAACACATCATGTTGCTCATTTTTTTTGCATTTGTATCTCTATGTACACCTTGTCCAGTGCTATTTGTAGGTGGTCGTCCATAAATTATATGATCAAATTGAGGCACATAGAAGACGAGTAATGGTAAAGCACAGTGTGATTACGCACAAAAATGGATCAAATTTGTATGGAAATTTATGACGTGGTTTTTATTAACGAGATCATATTATCAGAAATAACTTGATATCACTTATTTCCGCTAATTTGATATGGGAAATACGTTTGAAGTTTGATTGATAAGTTTAACAGTTAACGGGTGATAAGCTTGTTTGGTAATGAACTTGACAAGATTTAGGTATCCAAAGTTATTGATGGATGGCTACAGATAATGGATTTTTATTTTGTGATCGTTTTCAACCTGTGATAAGTCGGGAACTTTTTTTTGTGTTTTTCCCGATTTACCAAGGTTTACATGATGCAACATCATTTAAAAATATTATTTACATTTACGTTTGTATTTTACTAACAATCATGTATGCAATATAGAAATGTTTACATTTACAAACGGGATGCCACATCTTAGGAGTCAATTCACCCATGGAATACGACACTACATATTTCTGAATGGTATCAAAATCTGTAATGCAGAATGTGTGAGAGTTCACACTCCTCCTTAGCGAGGTACATAAATTTATGAATGAAAATCGCAATATGCATGAAGAAATATATTTACAAATCTGCACGAAAATTTGGAGAGATTGTTTAGCAAAATGATCTCTGATGAGGTCTACAATATCGAAAATTTTAGAACGAAGTGCTTCAAGGAAATCTTTTTATACAATCTAGAATCATTGAGGATGGAAAAAGTGTGGCGATCAATCAGGCAACAAGGGGCACATCCTCACACACAAATTGGCACTATATTTCACAACAGATTGGTTCTTCCCTCTCATTTTTTATCCGTTTATCGAAGACGTAGTTTCGCCATGGGTGGGAATCTTAGAAGAAATTGAGAGTAATGATATCGTGTACAGTAACAAATGCTTCAGATTTTTGCTCATTTTAGACACACAATTTTCTTTGTTACTAAATAATAAGGACGTTACATAACATTTTCTTAACAACACTGCATTTATTAAGCTGGATAAAATTAGGTTGCAAAACATTGCAAATTTTCGCAAGTTCTTTAAACTTGAAAATACACGTAATACCCTTCGCAATTTCTCAGGAGGTGAACTTTGCGAATTACTGGCTTGCAGACATCCGATTAAAGCGTCTCATTACGTTCTATTGCTTACGTAACGTTTTAAATTGTGCTGGAGTGCAGTCATTATTTTCTACTTTTCTATTTTTTTGCCAATCTGTCTAATTTTGCACAATGAGCGATTTTAACCGTAACTTTGTAAACACTTTCTTACCACTGTGAAAATCTGGCCCTAGAAATTCTAAAAGGTTACCAGGCAGAATTGGTCTATTTTTATTATCTTATCAATTACAGAAATTTTTTTCACTGTCAAAATTCACAATTTTTTTAGATATTCCTTAAAATTACGATATCTACCAGGTAACTTCTTAAAGAAAATTGGCTCGGTGAAGGCCACATTTTTTTCAGATAAAAAATAATCAATATGTGCACACATTTTATGAGACTCTAGCACAAATATTTAACATAAAACTGTGTAAACTTGGCAACTTGCTATATGCACAAAACTAACTTAAAGTTTAAAGTCATTAGTCTGAACGTTACTCCAGGTAAACTTTGTAAGTTTACACAAAGTTACAAAGATTGACATTTTCATTTCATTACACAGCACTTCAGATTGTATTGGTCATTCTTTTTCACTTTTTCATTTTTTGCCAACCTGCACAATCTTGCACAATAAACGATTTTAACCGTAACCTTTTACAACAAAATAAATAATGAGGTTTAGCCAAACGTTGGTCCAGTCAGAGCAAACTCTCCACAATATCAATCCCACCCAGTAATGTGAAATTATTTATTGTGCAAACACAACGCTGACTCCATAACCAAACACGACCGCATCAAAGCAATGTGAACAAATTGAGTGAGTGAGAAGCATGAAAAGTCGCATAAAAACTGATGCTTGATGGATAAACACGTCCCATTCCGTGTTGCAAATAATATTGGCGAACATTCACTGATTCCTGGCTGTGTCCATGCAGAGTCTAAATAATGTTGTAAATGTTTGGATTATACGTATGGTTTTACCGATTTGGTAGTTATTTTACCAGTTTGGAAATCACGTTTTTACCGGAGAATTTGTGATGGATTTTGACGCAATATGTTACTGATTTGCCAATTTTATAGCAATATTGTTACGGGTTTGCCAATTTGGATTTTTGAAGAAATATTTTTACTGGTTTGCCAAATTGGTAGTAATATTCCTGCCTGTTTACGAATACCTAATTTATTTTTGCTGAAATATTTTTTGCAAATTTTTCAAAAATGGCTAATATTTTAGCAGTTATACTAAAACCAAGTTTTCCCTGTATGGTAATAAATTGTTTGTTCACCACTACTACATACGCTATCCTGCTCTTTTGTGTTTATCACCATCAGCAGTTCAATTCCATCCCTGAGTCAATTTGTCAATTTTTGCATCATTATTCGCATCCATTTTGTCCATGGCTCAGTCGTTGGCTTGGCTCAGCGTAGAGAGGCAAACTCACCACTCGCCCGTTTTTGCACATCTCACGATCGAATAAAGGCTGCTAAAAAGCGAGACGAGTCCGAGCTTGGGGTTCAGTCTTAGTTTTCCATGAAGAAAAGAGGTTCAGCTGAGATTGGGATTGGGAAATGTGAGATTTTCAGGCTTCTTTTATCAACTGCATACGTGTCTCAAAAAATTTAAGATTTCTGGATTTTATTAAAACGCTCCAATTTATTCACGAAACGTATAATTTGCAAATTTGTGAGGTTGGATATTATTACATAAAGTGAGATGCGTGATTCGCGTGTTAAATACAGATAAAGATAACAGGATAAAAAATATACTTGGCGAACACCACGTAAAAAATGTTGTGATAAAAAGTAACGCGATTTATCATTAAATATCTAAATAACTCACCTGGGTGGTCGCAATCGTGCTGATAGATTAGAAAAGTGCGATTTTTATAGTTTATCCGACTGAGATTTAAATACGTAAAAGTGTTTATTTAACTATAACTTTATTCAAAATAGTTTTGAAAACAATAATTTTATTTTTAAAAAAAATAAAAATACATGTTAATCAGTAAAATTTGACGAGTTACTTCAGCCAATTTTCAAAAAAAGATGTTTTGAAAATACTGACATTTTTACAAAACTAATTTCTCAATTCTTGGGACCGATTACGAACTATATCCTACATAGTTTAAAAAATATTAACTTTATGTAAAAAATAAATACCGATATTAATAAATAAAATTTGACTAGTTATTTGAGCCAGTTTTCAGAAAATGTTTTGAAAATACCGACATTTTTATGAACCTTAATTCTTAATTCTTCAAACCGACTAGCAATTCGCAATTTTTTAAAAATGTGATTCCTTCTGGTTTTTAGTTATCAATAAAATTCAAAATTTTTCAAAAAATGTCTCACTTAAAAACCAATCTTTCCTGGGAGGACGGTTTTGGCACGTTAAATCTGGAATTTCCTACCTCCGAGGAAACCTATTTGAACGAATCGTTAACCTACGGGGAAGATGGGACACGATTTCATTTCGATTATTTCCCCTCGTCGACGCCACTTTCGCCACTTTTTGGCGACCCTGGCGATGGCGACAGGGCGAATCCGTACTGGGATGGCTGGGACTGGTCCACCGTTTGTTTAGTGATCGTGCTATCGTCACTAATCGTGGTGACGATTGTGGGCAATTTGTTAGTTTGTTTGTCGGTCGTTTTGGTGCGAAAATTGCGAAAACCACAAAATTATTTACTCGTCTCGCTCGCATTGAGTGACCTTTTCGTCGCCATGTTTGTCATGCCGTTCGCCATTGTGTTTGAATTACATGGAGGAAGGTGGCCCTTGAACTATGGCTTGTGCGACTTGTGGGTCTCAGGTAAGAGAGAGATTTGAAATTGATTTTTAAAAATATTTAGAATGATAGTTGGAAGTCGTGTAAAAATGTATTCGTGTTATTTAAGGCTCGAAATATAAGATGTTTGATTTTGAGAGGTCGATTACACTAATTTGTCGTTTTGCTTCAAGTAAACGACGTAAATATTTTTTGTTGGATATTCGTGTATAATATGGAAAATAGATGGGTATAAAACTTACGATTGTATTTTCGCAAATTGTTTCGGAATTTCTCAAAGTTTCATAATGGAGGGAGCATTCGGTGCCGATGAGTTAATTTATTTTTCTAGTTTCTACAATTATTGAAAATACTTATTGCATAATTCAAATTAATACATTTTTCCTGAATCTGCTATTGATTTTTTTAAATTTGTATTGGTTTGAGCCTGTTTATAAAATTTGGTAGAATTATTATTTTTTAATTGGCATTCAGATTAGTTATATCCGCAATTCATAAGGAGGTAATGAATTTCAAAAAATTATGAAACAAATTATGAAAAAGTAGTAATTATTGTTAAGTCCAAGTATAGTAATACTACAAAAATATTATTCATGTGAGTTTGTGTACATGCAAATTTTGGCAGTGACCTTTTCCTGCAGTTCCTGGTTTTGCAATAATAATAATACGCATCACGATAAATTGCGTAGTCGAGAAATGATCCATCTACAATTTCCATCAATCCAATTCTATTCCATTGTGTCATTTGTGCTGCTCCTCTGGTCGTTCATGGAACACAATTCGCAAGGCATGTTTTGCTACTTACATACGCCGTCATATTTCGCATAGTGTACTCCGGAGGACAATAGTTTGACAGCAAATTAATGAACGAATTTCGAAAACGGTACAGTCCTTTCCTGGCAGTGGAAACGTTGCAAAAAAAAATATGTGCAGATTTGAGCCTCCTCCAGGCAAAGAAGTGCAAAACCCTCTAATATTTGCATATATCTACTAACATTTAATTATGTCAAGTTAAGTATTTATAAAACTATTTTACAAATTTTTGCAGAATTAGGAAATGCCCGCAATATGTGCAAGTTTTTAACTTATTTTTCTCCTCAGTTTTTCCAAAATTATGGAAATGAGTACATACTAGTACTCATTTAGTATTTACGGACTTCACTTGGTTATAAACACACGACTGAACTTCTGTAGGAATTTTTGCTCCAGCGAAATATATGATCATCGCATGTTTTCCGTGGGAAACGAAAAACTCGTTTCATGCACGTTGACAATAAATATGACAATAATTAATGGATGCATTTCCTCGAATTTCTAGTTTTATTTCTACCCACGCAAAAATCCCATACATAAAATTATTCTGGATCCATTTTCGTGCCGAAACCATCTCAGTGAAATCCGAACTTCAGTTTCACAGACATCAGAAAAAATGTTAGTCTACATACTCTACAAAGAAAATATTTTGCATAATTTGTGTCACAGCAATGTTTTCTTTTCTAATAAATCGTACCACTCCTTTTGTCTTTAATTGACCTAATTTTACGTATTTATTTGAATGAAATAATGCGTGCGAATAATAAAAAAACTTGGTCATGACCAGATGTTACAACGTTACGACATCCTTTTTTGTGACATTTTGCCTTCTTCTTTCGACACAAAAGTTTTGTATCAGTATTGATTTAATCGAACAATGTGTGGCAAACAATGGAGATGATAATAGTAGTTTTGTGGAGATTTTTTTTTCTCGCCAAAATCAGGACAAAACCAAACCAAATTTCATTATTACGTTCCATTATGTCCCATTACGACACTAACACTAAATTGAATCAGATAATTGCACGACACGCCGGGGTGAGTTGTATCGTGTCCAAAGATTTTGAAAATGGAGACAAACTGCAAGTTATTCTTTCTCGGGAGAAAGTCAGGGTTTGGTTGGAGCGAAAAGTTTGGTAGGTTCACGTCAATAGTGGAAAAAGCTGGAAATCTGTGGAAAGGACTAAATGATGCGTCTGTAAATTGGTAAAACTTATATATTTACCGCTAAATTCAAATTTGTTTCGAATCGGTGAAAAATCAGAATTATGCAAATGATTTACCACAAATCAAACAGATTTAGCAAGCTTATTTCTTAACAAGATGTACTTTCCCTAAAGTTAAATAAATTTGCGAATATGCTAAATTTTGCAAGGTTTTTCAGAATTTGTCAACTCTCCATGTAACTGTGTTGATTCGATTTAATATATGCCAAATTGGCGAAGTGTGTGATATTGCAAATAAAATTGCACAGATTTTGCGAATTTTTTCATGCCGAGGCGTGGAAACACTGGTCATTTTGTTGGTAGGATTGTTTCTCAAACTGTCGTAAATTCATGTTAAGCTTTCCCTCGTACAATGTATCGTAATGTAACATGATGCGAATCGCTGGGGGATTTGGCATGTAGCAACTTTTTCACTTTTTGGTACAGTCTTAAAAATAAATGGGACAAGTTTTCTTGTTCCGTGTGTCTTGTTAAGGGGGTAATAATTTGTGGAGGAGGGGGTCGCATTTATATAGGCCGAATTTTTTACCTGAAGTTCTTTTCCTATGGACCAAATATAATAAATGCGTGGACATAATATTTCAGTTAAACTATACAAAAAGAAAGAGATTTTTACCATCTTTAATTATTTTGGTGACGTAACAAATATTCAAAATTTTGTATTTGACTTCGTTGTTATTCAAACTATAAATTGTTTCTCAAGTAGTTTTGTAGATAAATATTTTTTGAAATCATATGTTTAACCACGCTAAAAATAAGTTGGTAAGAAAATTGTCACTGGATGAAGACACTACCACGGTGGTAACAACCTCAGAACTCCTCATCCTGATAAATTTCGAAATAACTACATCACAAAATAATACGCAATTTGAGAAAATTCGACCCAGATAAAACTTGAGGCTAATGATTAACTACATACGTATTTTGGTATCGCGTTTTAATTTTAAAAAAAGTTTTGTCATTCTTATTCTTAAGGAGGAGGCACTCTCCTTACGTGAAATGCCCCGCCGTGATATTTGCCCCAATTTTTGATATGTTGTACATCTCGACGTGCTGAACAAAAAATGTATTGGTCCCTAAGCCCTAAGTGACCTGGTTCGACCGGAAATAGAGGTCAAAGGTCAGTGCATTTTTTCGCTCGAAACCCCACAAACCGTATAGTTTTGGAAAGCTTATGACCCTCTATCTCCTTCACGAACCGATTCCGGTCCGTTCTTCACTTACACTACCTGTGACCCCGACTCAGTCCTCCCTGGATGATGCGGATGACCCAATATTTATGAAATGAGATGACCACGACGACTATGGAAAAAGGTGAGAGGCGCTGGATGCAATGGGAGGATGAGTGCCGACCAAAAATTAGTAGACGGAAGAAGAGCTGGTCAATTCACTTGGAAGGTCCATTTATTACTGACCAATTTTAGATCTGTACACGGAGTTTATATTTTACAAATGTCTACGCCATTAACTCCTCCTTCTCTTCCACGAGTACACTTTACAGAGAATACCCATCTCGTCTCTAAGAGGGAGCTCATGAGTGAGTGTGGGTTTGAGTGGTTACAAGCTACGGACTTCGTGAGTCCGAATATACATCATAATAGGGTCTAAGGTCAACCCTTGACCTTTCAAGGTCAAACAATGACCTTACGAGGTCAATCAATCCTATCAGAAATGTACTTTGCATACTTCTCTTGGGGCAAGGTGAGATTTTTGGGGAGAAGTAACCAAAGTACATTTCTGGTAGAATTGCTTGACCTCGTAAGGTCATTGTTTGACCTTAAAAGGTCAAGGGTTGACCTTAGACCCTATTATGATGTATATTCGGACTCACGAAGTCCGTAGCTTTCCAAAAATATACGGTTTGTGGGGTTTCGAGCGAAAAAATGCACTGACCTTTGACCTCTATTTCCGGTCGAACCAGGTCACTTAGGGCTTAGGGACCAATATATTTTTTGTTCAGCACGTCGAGATGTACAACATATCAAAAATTGGGGCACATATCACGGCGGGGCATTTCACGTAAGGAGAGTGCCTCCTCCTTAGGTATATTTTTTAACCTTAATTTTAATACATATATAATTTAATGAAATTCAATTAAGATGTTTTTCATTTCAACTAACTAAACGCCAACTTCTAAAATTTCGAGAAGAATAAAGGAAAGTTTTTCTACTTTCTTTATATTTAAATGAATTCTCGAGTGAAAAATAAATAATTTAACTTTTCCCCCATCTGTAAAAAGCTAGGGAAATAAATTGAATCTACCTACGCACCAAGAGGCATTTTATTATGAGAGGCCATATAACTAAATAATTGCGGAAAAAAGTTGAGATGAAAAGTATGAAGAAATTTCACATCAAAAATTTACTTATTCCTCCCATTCTTCATAAAATTAATAAAATTTCTTGAATAATAAAGTTTCAGAACTTTTTGAGCAAAACAGTTAACTTATGGAATATGCAGTAATATTCTTCAATCTCAATTTTCTACCTACACAAATGTGTTAAAAATAGTGCCTGAAAGTCCTTGCTTTCTACTTTTCCTTAATTGATGAGGAATTTGACTTTGTTGAAGTTATTGAAAAACATGTAACTCGCAAACGTCAAGGAATATCAATTATATTAAAGAAGGGTTGTGAAATTGGGGAAAAAGTGGAAGAATTAGGCAGGAATTTTATAAAGAAAGTTGAACTTTTTATATGAAATAATCCTAATTTTACATATCCACGAGCCGAACTCGTGATCAGGTAGTGATCATCGCGTGTCTGACTAAACGATACCTTAGAAAATGAAAGTTCATTTGAGACTTAAAGACCGATAAGTATTTAATACGTTTCTTTCCCAGTGAATGATATCCACTTTTCAGATTCATCAGAGAACAGTTCATTTTAAACTTACAAAGAAAATGAAGATTCTTAAAAGTATGTAAGAAAGCTGAAAAACGCGTCTCACAGCATTTGCAAAATTTTTGCATATAGACATCTTTGCA